CCGAAAAGAGGGATCCGCCCCGGGGCCCGGAGCCAGGAATTCCTGGCTATGACTGGGTCAAGTGCGAGGTGGGGGGCGTCCAAAGTGTCTTTCAGACCTTTCTTGAGGTCAATAGGGTCGTAAGGTCGTGCAGGGTTTGCGACCCTTCTATCTCCCGAATGATCCGGCTTGAACCCTGTCAGGCTGGTGAGGGTGTGTACATGGGGAAGTCTACCGATTCTCCCCATTTCTATATGTACTATTGTTTCTTTAGGGATTTAGGCGTCTGTCTTCCTTTCACTCAGTTTGAGTGTGATTTTTGGAACCATGTCAACGCGGCTCCTTGCCAGTTGCACCCCAATAGTTGGGGTTTCTTGAGGGCTTTTCAAGTCCCGTGTACAGTTTTGGGGATAGAGGTATCCCTTCCTGTCTTTCTTCATTTTTATCAGTTGAAGTTAGGCGTTCCGCCATATGGCATTCTGTCCTTGAATGGGAGTAGGGATGGGGGTTTGTTTACCCCCTACTCCCAGTCGTATAAAAATTTCAAGCAAGAGTTTTTCGGGGTTGCTCTTGTGGATGTTGACCCCATGGAGGATGAGGCGTTTTACTTCGGCGGGCTGCCGAAATTCCCTTTCTACTGGTGCCCCAAGCCGTCTAGGTTTCACGGGGTAGGCCAGGTGAAAGTAACGGCCTCGGAGGTGGCCGCTATCGACAACCTTGTTGCGCTTCCTCGCCCGCTGGATTGCAAGCTCGTTCTGTCGCTTGCGAACTTGGCATACAGGGAGAGGGTCTTGGAGAGTGAGTATTTTGTTTGTTTTTTTGGTGGCTTGGGGTTTGTGTAGCTTTCTTTTGCTGATTTGTTTTGCTTCTTGCTTGTAGGTATCATGGGGAAGAATTTGTGGCGCGAGCTTAAGCATCGCTACAATGTCACAGAACTCGAGGTCCCCGAGCCCCAAGAGGAGGATGTTTCCCCTCTACAGGCTAGCCAAAAAAGGAAGAGGGGAGCGAGGGAGGTTGGGGGGACTTCTGCCTTTGCGGGCGCCGAGGAGGTGGCCTCCAAGGCCGCCGATGCTGATGTAGTGGATCTCACCGAGAGTCCACCGCCCCAGGTGGCCTTTGAGGAGGTGGCTCAGATTGTTGAGCCTACTGTGCAGGCCGCTGAGGTGAGTGTCCTATCTCTTTATACGTGTCTTTTGTGCTGACTTTGTTTGGTTTATTGAGGCGGAGTGTATCTTTTCGCAGGTCGGGGCGACCGCTGCCGAGGTGGGAGACCAGGCTGTTGAGGAAGTTGCTCGAGTTGCCGAGGTGGCGAGTATCCTATTTCTTGGGTTTTTCGTTAATCCTTTTATTATGCTTTCTGGTCGCTTGACCTGGGGCCATTTTTGCAGGCAGGAAATGCCCCTGAGGCGGCGACGCAGGCTGTCGAGCGGGTCGCCCAAGCTGCTGAGGTAGGTAGTGTTTGTTTACTTGATTTTGTGATTCCCCGTATGTCGCCTTGTTTATTTTTGACATGGGGCTGATTTTTGCAGGCAAGGTCGGGGGTCCCCATTGTGGACTTTCTGGATGCCGAGCAAGGGACGTCGGCTTCTGTCTCTGCTGAGGCTCGTGGAGGAGGTCCTAGTCATGAGGTTCCTCCGTCCGCGGTTGCCGCTTCGGCGCCGCCGCTTGTCTCGTCGCAGGAGGCTTCCCGGAGCCGATATCTGGCTCACCGTTTCAGGAAGGGTCTTTCCAAAGTGCGGCTGGACCACGTGAGCGCCTCCGCCGACATGAATTCGCTGTGGAGCGCGGGGGTGACCGGGGAGAAGTTCTACCCTCAGGGTTCGTTGAGCTCCGAGGACCAGGGGTTGATAGACAGGGCCGGTCCCGAAGAGAATTTTGATGCGGCCTAGGTCCTTCTGTAGAGGGTTATGGGCATAATGGGCCATTGGAAGCCCAAGTGGGGCCAACAGCGGGAGGATTTGGCCAAGTAGCAGGAGGACCTGGCCAAGTTGAGGGGCCGACTTCAACCCTGGAAGGAGGCAAACAAGATGCTGAGGGAAGAGAATAATGCTCTTAGCGCAGCCCTTGGTGAGGCGAAGCGGCACGAGGCTAAGCTCCGTTCTGCGCGTGGCGACCTTGCACGGGTGCAGAAGTCTCTTGAGATTGCGTTGCGATCCAATGAGGCTTATGCCTCTCAGGTGGGGGAGCTGCAGGAGCTCGTCGCCTTCTCTCGAGGCCGTGCTCGCTCCTTGGAGGATGAGGTGACCTCTTCTCGTGGCCAAGTGCGGGCTCTGGAGGACGTTGTGACCTCTCTTAAGGGAGAGTTGGCGGCGGCGGCTGAGGAGCGCCTCCGTAGCGAGGTCATTCTTGGTGGCCGTGAGGACGAAATTGCCACCTTGAAGGCGGAGCTCGCGGAGCTGGCGGCGGGGAAGGCGGCCATGGACAAGAGGCTCGCGGAGGTCGAACGCTCCGTTGTGGTTGAGCACAAGAGTTGCTTCCAAAAGGGTGCTCGTCAGGCTCGGCTTCTCGCTCCCGGATTCGACTTTTCTTCCATGCATGTGGAGAAAGTCGTCCACTTTGGGAGGCTAGTCAAGGAGGATGATGCCGACGACAGTTCTAGCGGGGGTGCGTCAGCCTAGGCCGCCTTTGTAATAACTTGGTTTATTTTTCTTTGGCTTGAATTGATGTACTGAATTTTGATAACTTTGTTTGTATATATATATATTTTGCTCTATCTTGTCCGTATTTGCGTTCAATTTTGGTTGTTCGCGCTGTTTGAGGCACATGTTTGGTGTCTGTTATATGCTTTTGTATATGGTGATACTTCTACCTTGAGTTGGTGAAGTCGAGGTTCGAGGTTGGCCTTAGTTTTTTGTTTAGTAGGATTTTTCGTGGGAGTTCGAACTCGGCCGTAAATGAATCTGTTAAGATTCGTATTCGACCTCGAATTTTGACTAAGTAATTGTTGTGAAAGTTCATAAATGACCCTAGACTGGAGTCAAGGTCAGAATTCGACCTTAATTCGGTCGTGCTGGGGTTTGAATTCGACCCCGGTATTGAGAGTGGGGTGTGCTTTGCCAGGGTTCAAAGACGTCCTCAGGTTAGTGGTTTGGACTCGACCTCAAGTAAATGTGTTGAGGCTCGTATTCGACCTCGGATTTGAATTAGACGATTTGGTTAGGTTTGGACTCGACCTTTATCGGGAGTGTCGAGGCTCGTATTCGCCCTTACACTTCGATTTTGAGCAACTGATTTTATTGTGGTTCGGATTTGACCGATTTTATTAAGGTTCGGGTTTGACCTTGAAAGTGCCGAGGTTCGTATCCGACCTTAGGCTTTGGTGGGGTTCGGGTTTGATCTTAGGTTTGAGCAAAATGATTTAGCTAAGGTTCGAACTCGACTTTTAAGCGGGGACATCGAGGTTCATACTCGACCTCGGTTTTGAATAAAACAAATTTTTGGCGAGGTTCGTATTCGACCTCGGATCCGGATGTTGTGGTTCGTACTCGACCTCATATGCTAAGGGAGGTTCGGGTTCGACCTCGGACTTCTGTTTGGGTGAGCGTTTCTGTGAAGGTTCGATGACCTTGATTTATTAGCACCGAGGTTCTGAGCCGACCTCAAACCGGAGTGTAGTGAATTGGATAGGTGGTCTGTATCTGTCCTTAAGTTTAGGGTCATGTATGTTTCATCACGGTTCGAACTCGACCTTAGGTATATGGCTCGTACTCGGATTTTAACGACAGTGTCGAGGTTCGGACTCGACCTTAGATTTAGGGTGGTGCGTGTTTCATCGAGGTTCGAACTCGATCTCGGATATGTGGTTCGGACTCGACCTCTGAATAAGTTATTAAGGTTCGGACTCGACCCTTGACAAGAGCGTC